CTGGTACACTATTATGTGATTCATCAAGAGAAATAGCTGTTGCACAGCAGCAATCAGCACTGACAAAAACTTGGAACTTTTTCAATATTTCAGATTCATTCAAGTCTTTCAGTTATACACTTGATACAAGTTATGTGGCCAGATCTCTCCAGAGAGACTAACTTTTCCAAGTGAAACAGAGCCAAAAGGTCTTCCTGTTTACTGAAAAGGCACTTTCTGATTGGAGTCCAAATTATCCATATGACCTTTGTCTTCCCAGCCTCCAGACCACGCATCAGAGAAGGGCTCTGGGGGCCACTGGCATGGAAGCTGTTTGTCCTGGTTTTAGGCATAGTTCCAAAACACGAGGAATACTTTTACAAGTAGTTTTATATGTACTCTACCTTTGGGTTATCTAATTAACTGTAAGGTCTCTACAGATTAGACAGTGAGAATAATTACTGAGGTTAGTTAGAAATCCTTAAGGAATACTAATGCTCTACTGATGTGGAATTTGATAATATCAGAGGCAAACACATTCTTCAGTGTGAAATCTTGCCATTTGTGGACTGTTCATCTTCTTCTGTTTCTCCTATCTTCTGATAATTCTAACTTCATGACACCTTCTTTCTTTTCTGCCACTTTTGGAGAAGCCCTAGTAGCATCACTCCTTGGCCTTATTTCCCCTCTTCTTCACCCGGTGAAAGTACAGCTATTTCCATTTGCAGAGGACTTGCATTTCTCTGCTCTGAGCACCTTTCACATAGGACTACAACTATGTAAACTGAAGAAAGCTAAGCTGCTAGAAAACTGTCACAGATTTTCTTGGGGGCAGATACTTGTATGTCATATTTTTGCCTTCCTGTTTCTGGTATGAATTGCCTCATTCTATCTGCATCTCTTCTCTTGGAGCATTTAAATTTTATAGGACCATATTTTTCAAATGCAAATATGTGTATCTATGGTATCCTTTACTTATGCCTGATGCTGTTGGCCATTTACCACTGCTTCAAAATGAAAGCCTAAAAGGGCAGTAGTTACGCTAATGATTCCTACCAGATCCAGTGGAAAGCTAAAGTTCTGAGCTTCTGAAACTCACAGATGTTTTATTTACCTGCCAAAATATGCATTATAAAATTAATAATTGTCAATTGCATTTGAAAATGTTGACCTTACAGCTGAGTCTCCTACCTTATTTATTTCTCTAAAAGTCATGAACATAACCATGTCACTGCACAAAATGTGAATAACATAAAGATATTACAGATTTGAAAGTGTTGGTAGGGACCTCTGGAGATCATCAAGTCCAATCCCCTGCTAGAGCAGACTCCCTGCAGCATACTGCACAGGAAAGCATCCAGGCAGGTCTTGAGTATCTCCAGAGAAGGAGACTCCACAACCTCTCTAAGCAGCCATTTGCAGTGCTATGCCACCCTCACAGTAATGAAGTTCTTCCATATGTTTGTATGAAACACGCTATGTTCCACTTTGTGCCTGTTGCCCCTTGTTCTATTTCTGCATACCATTGAAAAGAGCTTGGCTCCATCCATTTGACACCTGCCCATTATATATATATAAACACTGATAGATCCTCTTTCAGCCTCTCTTCTCCAGGCTGAAAAGTCACAGGGCTCTCAGTCTTTCCTCCTATGGGAGATGCTTGAGCCCTTTAACCATCTCTGTGGCCTCTAACCATCTCTGTGGCCCTCCACTGGATTCTCTCTAGCATTTCCCTGTCTTTCTTGAACTGGAGAGCACAGAACTGGGCACAGTACTCTAGATGTGGCCTCACCAGGGCAGACTAGAGGGGGGCTCTTTTTAACGCAGCCCAGGATACCATCAATGTTCTTGGCCACAAAGGCACACTGCTGGCACATGACCAAGTTGTTGTCCACCGAGACACCCACATCCTCTTCTGCAGAGCTCCTCTTCAACAGGTCAGCCCCAAATCGACACATATGTGTGAGGTTATTCATCCATGTGTGCAAGACCCCACACTTGTTCTTGATGAACCTCCTCAGGCTCCTGTCTGCCTAACACTCCAGCCTAATCAGATTTTGTTAAATGGCAGCACAGTCATCTGGTGTGTCAGTTATACCACAAAAAGAAAAGCAGTACTATTTGGAAAGATTTGTTGACTTCAGATAACCCTTCTGTGCATTCATGCATTTTTACAACTGAAAGGACTGTTGCACTGTATTTCCTAGTGCAATTAACAAAGCTAATGACTATCTTACTAACTTACTAACCTTACCATGTTGCAATGCAGTTTTAGTTATAGAAAGTTTTACTTTGTCCTTACTTCTCTGACAGGTGGTGCCTCGGTATCCTGGTGCACATTCACAGATCCCATCATCTGGAGAGCATGATGCCCCATTTTTGCAGTAACAAGACAGTGAGCAATTTGGTCCCCACTGTCCCTCAGCGCACACACTGTCACAGTGTATACCTGCAACCACAAGCAAGATTGTCAGCACGTAAATATAAAGAGCTTTTCTGCACAGTCATTTTGGTTCTCAGAGAACTCATTTTGCAAAACACTGACAACAAAAACTGTTTATGAAAATATCACTAATGCCAGGAGAACAGAGCAAGAACAAGGTAAACATGCGTCTCTGTGCCTGCATTCCCCAGGCCTCTGAATAGTAAGTTTCTTTTATATTCTAGTAGTAGTAAATTCTAGATGTACTTCAGAGCTGGTCCTGAGCTCTGTAACAAGTACTTCCATAGCCAATTCACACGGAACATAAGAGCTCCATGGGATGCTACCTTCAGGCTTTCTTCCCATTAGCACTTTAAGATCTACTACAAAGACAAATGCAAATCCCTCAGTATTATAAAGAGCTCCATCATTTTCCAGGATAAAAATTCTTTTTTTCCTGTCACTTTCACCAATAGTATCAATAAAGAGAAATGAAAGTAGAAAGTAATTCAAATGCAACAAACTAATGGCTTTTGCTTCTTCCGTAATGGCTGCTTTAAAACAGCAAAAGCTTATTTTCAAATTTAATGTTAGGGAAATGCATGACAAAAGGCACTGCAGCAGCTTTTCCCCCTGAATGTAAAAATTCTTAAGGTCTGAGATAATTTTGTGTAATAATGGGGTGCAGAACACAGAATGATTTCTAATTAGTAGTGAGCTGATTACCACTAAGCCTCATACCAAATGGAAAAATGTAGTGCACACAAAGAGTTTCAAAACACAACACGTGAGCATTCCAAAATGCTTAGCTGCAGCACTGTTAAGGATGCTGGTCAGTCAGTCGTTTTGTCTAACCATTTCTGGCATAAAATTGATTAGAAGTTCACCAGTGTGAACCCCCATACATAAGCCGTAACGCAACCCACTCATTATAATCACACTTCATCACGTTGTTTTCTGTTGCAGCACAGAAACATTAACTATAACTCTCCTAGTTCCTTCTAACGCTATCTGCCTTCAGAAAGTAAACTGCACACTACATGCGAGCAGGCACCATGGCTGTGGAACTCAGACCGTATTGTGTCTACAGTACTTTGCATTAACAATTAAGTATTATTGTAGCGCCTCTACTGAACGAAGCCCTTTGCTAAGGGAAAAGTGGACAACATCCAACCACAAGTATGTCTTGCTTTGTAAGTATTTCCAGAAAAATCTGTCACAGGTCCGTGGGCTGCCAGAGTTCTAATAAAGCAAAACAGTTTCACATGTGACAAGAAAAATCTTAAAGTCTGAAGAGCAAAATGCAGTGTTCATAGCATCGCTGAAAAATTATTACAGTGTTTATGTGCAGATCAGATACAGAGGTAATTTCCCAGCCCCCACAGCATGGCTGTGTAACGCTGCCTACGTCCAAAGACCAGCTCTCTAATTAGAGGAAAAGTGAAGCTACAGACGCCCAACTTGTTTGTTTCTCTGCAAGACAATCAACAGTTTGGATAATCAAATATGTTGTTCAACAGATTGCACCAACTACCGCTAGCAAGAGAGAAAACACTTGATTTTTAGAAACCAGCATGAGACAGTACATCAGCACCTGAGAGCCCAATGATTATTTGGTTAGTACCAACCTGACAAGTGAAAGGAACCCCCCCAGAATGAAAGCCTTCTTCCACCATGACTATCTTTTTCATTTTTGCTTGCACAGGCAATGCCATTCTGCTGGTTTTATCTATTACATTTGAGAGGCAGAGAGCATAAGCTGGTTCCTCAGCATCTGGGTCAACTTTTTCATAAAAGTCTCTACTTGCGTATGAGCAGATATAAAAGAGGGGTTTGATTCTGAGAGATGCTGATGCACACAAGCAGGATGAGATCACTGCATTTTTTAGAAACAAGACCACTTATTTCAGGCACTTAGGACTTCTCTGCTTGAGGCTCTCAAATTGAAAACTTTGGTTTGTGTCTGTGAAAGCACAAGCTGATACATGCAGAGGCTTTCAGAGCTGAGCCTGACATTCTGTTCACTGGAGTGTTATCCGTCATATCATACAGAGCTCTGCTCAGCGAACCCCAATGGAGAAAAGACATTTTTCACAGAGTCCTAATGAGTTTCAGTGGTGTTCAGTATACAATGGTCACTGTTAACAAGTCAGTGGTTGCCAAGAGTTACCACAGTGCATTATGTGCAGTTATGTAGACCAGTGACATACAATAACACCAGGCTCAATCGTCTTGATCGGTGCACAGAGGATGCTTTATGACAGCATGGTGTCAAAGGGTGATACTGGACATACTGGGACAGAAAAGACGAGGGATACATACTACACAGATCCACAAGACTTACAAGAGCGAAGCAGCACTACTGAAAATAACAAAGAAACAAGTTCTTCCAGTACACATCAGGGAAAATTATCCATTCAGGAGGCTAAAATTTAGCTCTTGTTCCCCCTTTTCAGCACATACAAGGAGGTGGTCGATATGATATTCCCCTGCTCAGCAAAAGCACATCACTGAATAACAGTTATGACAATTTAGTGTACTAAAAGAGTGCTGATTATGACATCTATTTCACTATAAAAGCAATTTTATTATATTTACTACTGATCATAAACAAAATCAATTGCACTTCTGTGTCTGAGAGTGTTAAGAATGACTGTAGCAGAGAAGGAATAGAAATTGATTCAGTGACTTACTACCTCTCTGTTAATAAAAATATTTTTAAGCCTCACTCAATAGCTCATAATTAGATAAGTAAGATAAGATAAATGGTAAACTGAGTTTCACATTTTCACAAAATTAAACATAAATATTTTTGAGAAAGAATAGGTCAGAAATATTAAAAGTTGAAAATAAAATAAGAATTTAACAAAATCTGATGCTTTAAATGCTATATTTTTACAGAAAAGCTAGAAAGGAAGGAGAAGAAAACAACACTTTTACTAGAAGTTGGAAACAGGATTAGACTTTCACAACATTGGTATCAGCAGACTTACAATTGCTGCAAAATTAAGTGGGTATTAACTTCGTATGCAACAAAATTGGTTTTGATCAGTTTTTGTGCTGATTTTAATACTGATAAGGATATCTGTGAGGAAATGTTTTTGCCAGAGCAATGGACAAAGAACTCTTTGATGGCCTTCACAAGTTGCTAGGCAATAGCTGAATGGTCATGATAAACTTCAGCTAAGCTGCTCTGAAGAAATGCTCATGCATTTTATATCCAGTGCTTTATGTCGGGGGCCCCGCTTTTAAATCAGCACTCCCCCAGCATTTGTAATTGAATGAATAAAGAAAACAATTATTTAAGGATAGGAATGTTTCTGCCCATGCTAGCAGAGTGTTTACATACTCTCCATACTGTATTTTTAATATTTTGAGACTCGATGATGCATCCATATCAATTCAACATAGAGTTCATTTGTTTTAGCACTTAAAGGGGAAAAATTCAACAATTCTTTCTTATCATCCTCCAGAGTAAACTTATTATTGGACTTTTGTTATTTTTCTTGTTATTTTGTTTTGATTAATCTGATAAAAGTTATCCAAACTTTTAATAAGTTAAATGGAATTTTCAAGGACAGCCTCAGAACTAAACCTTATTTGGTCAGTGCCTTACTTTCCATTGTTCAGAACTGAACTTAATATACAGTATAAACAAGATTGAACCTTCAAAATGTTTGGTTCTATCAAGGCTAATGATGAACTTCCATTATTGTGCAAGCTATCACCCTTTATATTTAATTACTTGAGAAAAACTTTTAAACACTAAATTACTGCTGTCCAAGTAATCTGAGATTTATGATGGGAGAAAACTGGATCAGAACTGCTTCCTTGCTTCTCTGTCAAATGGATAAGCAGCCCAAATAAGGAAGCAACAACACAGGGAAATGGTGAAAAAATTCAGAGACGCTCCTTAGAAGTACCCTCATTGTCCCTAGCAGAAGGGAAGGCCTTGATCCATAGGTGAAGGAAGTGTCTCATTAAACAGCTACGAAAAGGATTAAAGATTTTTCTCTAGAAGTTCACGCTGCTGCTTCTTCACTGAAAGCTGTAGAAAAGTTTGTGTCTGGGATTTCTGGTATAAAGCCAGGCACAAAACCTTATGTACAGCAGTGCTGTATGAAATTGAAAGCAGATATCAGTAACTGTATTTTTTAGTGGAAGAACAACTCCTGAGATACCTTGGTATCTTTCTCAAAGCCATATTGTTGCTGCACACTCTCAACCAGCCCAGAGATGCTTCTCTTGTCGTCCACAACATTTTTGGTAGCCTCAGGAAAGTAACAGGAAAACATCATTTCTCCCCTTCTTACCTTCTAAGCAGGTAGAAAATGAATGTACTTAATGCACTGATGTAAAGTTCTTCTTTTGAGATAGTGATGTTTATTCCACACAAAGACTCACTGCAATGCACAGGCAAAAGAGATGCAGGCACAGTGACACAGTTAGGGTGGGCCAAATCCCCGAGCTGAGGTTTGGAGAGTAAATACACTGTTTATCATGACACCATGCAGACATACAACTTCAGTCTGTGCTGCACTGAATATCTGCAACAACAGACACTTGCACTTCAGAAGCAGAGAGAAGTTGGCCAGTGTGGAGGAAAAATTGTCTTGGAAGAGGCTCCTGCCTGGGGTGCACCAGGGCGCCAGCACTATGCGCACTCCCAGTGGCATCTCATTTCTCAGTCTGAATGTGAGAAAGGCCTATGGCAGTACTCTTTTATGTCTTTTTCTTCTTTGTAGTAGAAAAAAGAAAATTGTGTACACACTAAAAGCTAAGGAGCACGGGAGAGGTCTAGCTGGTGCTTCCCTGGGGACCTAGTTATTTGCATCAGTGGAGAGGGTGTCAGATGACAGTCCTGTCCGCTCTAATCCAGCAACAAATGTGCCTCTCAGTAATAACGTCGCGAGCACATGGAAAGGACACAGCGCTTCCTCACAGCAACAACACATCTGGTGATGGACAATCTGACTAGCATCAGCAGGTGTCCAGCACAGCAAAGTCACCAATATCCTATCTGACATAGCATATGAATAAACACCATGTGTGCTGGTAGAATGTAGGCTGATATTTCTGCATCTGTCTTTTCCATAAACCAATGCTATTGTTTTGGTTCAGATAGCAGACTACCGGTATTTCACAATCCCTGGCACAGCACAGCCTTTAAATTGATTTTTAAAATAACAAGTGTGGTATGAGTATGACATGACATTTCTTCATGAACAGAAAGGTCCAAGAAAGCACAACAGCAATGCATTACCACTGACACCCACGTTGTACTGCAGTAAGCAGACTGTCTGGAAGAAAACATTTGCCTCTTTTACAATATTTTAATGAAAAATTTCAGTTTGCAAGAATATGGGTTACCTAATATTTTCAGCAGTTTGGATCACCTGTGTTCTTGGCAGCTGCTTGTAGAACAGGTTAAGTTTAAGGAATGAAATTAACGGGTACCATGGTGCTTGCTGGATTGTGCGGTTATTGGGGGAAGTGGCTCTTTCACAAAAGTTAACTTAAGGTCTTGGTATAAATTATTAGGAGGCTTAATTATCATTACATGTTGAGGAGGTATGTTTTCTTTGTCTTTCCTCTACGTTTTGGCTTTTTATTTTAATGCTTCTTACTCTTTTCCACTGTCTAGCTATTGCACTCTCTCCAGATGAAGAAAAGTTATTTATAAGTCACAGTGAAAATGTCAAGGGATGAGAGTGTTTGGGGCAGAACATCATCTTCAGTGTGGGCGGATGTTTCTCATTTGTACCATCATGTCATGTGGCTCCTGGAATGTGAGGGAATGGCAAGATTGCCTGGAAAAAAACATCACCCTTAACTCTTGCTTCTCTCAATAGAATTAATCTGCTATAGAGTGAGCACTTAGGCAGTGCAGTCTCTAACAGGAGTCCTATGTAGGAAGGGACTTTTGTTTAGGATCCAAAATCTAAGTATCTGCGTAGATAAAAGAAACTAAATTTAAAACATAAAGGTTATTTAAACAATTTCAATTATTTCTAGAGTTCTGCCACAACTCCTGACAGAACTTACTGATTCACTCATAGCTGCCATTTCCAGATTATACAACAGGCATGTTTGAAAATAAAGCTTATTTAGGAAACTAAGCTATCTAGCGTCTTACTGCTGACAGAATGCTCAGCTACAGTTCTGTCTTGGGACCAAAGCACAGGAAGCATGTCAGCAAAGCTGCCCTGGCTATCCGAGGTGCATGCGTCCTACTAGGTCTCCAGAGGAGTGCACTTCCTCTGCCCCAGTGCTATGGCACAACTGTATCATCCAGCAAAGGAAAAATCTTCCACTCCTGATCTGTTTCTGGAGAGTTACATAAACTAGAAAAATGCTCTATTCAGAGAGATGAGAAAAGTACTGCACTTGAAGTATCTTCTCTAAAGCTTTACATAAATTTGGAGGTATTAGTACATTTTGAGAAATTTGACTTGAATTCACTGATTTATTCCTGTTAAAAAAAGATAATAAAAAAACCTGATTTCATATTCATAAGCTTATTTAAATGGACTTTTTTAACCCTCCCTTCAGTGTTTGTTCAGCAACAATAACTATAATTTGTGTTAGCATCAGACTGATCCCAAAGTGGTTTCCTGTTTGAGTGTTGGGGTTTTTTTGTTGCTGTTTTTGGGTTGTTTGAGGTTGTTTTTTTTGTTTGTTTGTTTGTTTTGTTTTTTACAAATTCTCCACCTGTTTCTCCACCTATTACGCACACACATATGTGTACAGCAACCCTTCTTAATCCTGAGGTCTAATGCTATTCCCTGCAGTGTAACATTACATGACAGCTATTTGAGAACCCATTTCTAAAATATTGTCTCCTTTTTTAAGTTATTCTAAATATAAATATCTACACAAAGAACAGATTCCTCCTGGGTACAGCTCCAATATGTGAAGTGTGGGAGGAAGATTTTTCCAGACACTGAGTATAAAGCAAGCTATCCCATTTATGTCATGTTGTATGTCTAGACATCACCAACTTGTTGAAACTAGTCTTACACACACTGCTGAGATGACATCATCCAGGGATGGATACCCATTTATATCTACAATCACACAGGAAGTCTAAATAGGCAAAGGAAGCAAGCTTTTACTGAAGGCAAAAATATTTTGTCCTGAAAAGGACAAAATTTGAATTCCAGTACTGTTAAGATTTGTACTGTGCTTAAGTTCTTGTCACTTCCTAGCTTAGTTATATCCCACTGGTGTTATTTATTTTTTTTAATTTGTTACTGAAAGTTGCTGATTTTTGCTACAGCCTTTCAGAGCTACTGCTTTTAATTTGGCTTTACTCATGTGCATACTTTTGGTCTCTGATGATTTGTCCCAGTACTATAAAACTTGTAAGATTTAATTTGGACAGTACATCCAGAGCTTGTGAACATCGCTAACTCTGCACAGCAAGGTCACTCAAGATCTGCAACTGTTCACATATCTTTCAATGTCTGTAAGCTTCCATAGATTCATTAACTTAGCAAATTGTATTTTGAACAGTTCAAATAAAGTTTTGAGAAAGAATGTTCAAAGACATAAATGCAATCCTGAGGCTACCTGAAAATAAGAACATCAGAGGACATAAATATCCTAAGAAAATAACCCGTAACACAAAGCAGCATCTCTATTAAAAAAATGGAATAATAATGTTTGTTTGTTCGTATTGGGTTGGGTTTTTTTTTTGTTTGTTTGTCTCCTTGCTTGCTTATTTTGTTTGTTTAATTTGTGGTTTTTGTCTTAACAACCCACTCAAATCATCTCTATTGTTTTTGCGTTCTTGTGGTAGTCATTTCCCAGAGGTATCTGAGTGTCTGACAGCAAGTTACACTGCAGCTTGTGGGAGGCGAATAAATTCAATCAAAGCCTAGCACAAAGGTAAGTGCTGGCTCTGGAAACCTCTGTCTTTCACACTGAAACCAGCTACAGGACAGTACCGTAAGGAAAAAGCCTCTTCAGAGAACTTGGCACAAGCCTACGGACAAATTACGCAAATAAGAAGTAGGTAAGCTGTACTCAACTACAACTAATCAACCTGAACTGCAGACACAGACTTTTGCACAGAATGCCTGTGATCCACCTACAGAGCTGAAAGAAATAAGCACACATAAAATTTGGGGGGAAAATCAACAGAGATTGAATCTGAGAAGTCATAAGCCCTACACAAACTTTTATGAGCAAAATAATTTGCTAACCATTTCAAATCCATTACTTGTTGCAGATTATCCACTCACCTCCATCTAGTATAACTAAAAGAACCAGAGAAAAAAAGAAAACAATTGTATAATGGACTACCAGTCAAGTAGGAAAAATACTAACTTATGAATGGGTGAGGTGATATTAAACAATACTATACTACATCTGAAATCACAAAAAAACTCCTTTCATAAAAGAGCAGAAGTTAAAAGGTATGTTTTTCTTCCTGGCTTTTCATTATTAAATGGAATGAGTCCATACTTGAAATCAGATCCTTGCAATGCTACAGCAGTTGAGGATCTCACAGTGAGACACAAAACCCAGAACATTCTGCAAGACAAACTGATGCCAGCTAATCATAATTGAAGATAAACTTGTTTTTCCAACATTTACAGCATAGAGATCTATGTGAGAATTAAATCTCATAAAGGGAACATTTATTTCACAATGGTAGAACCTTCCGCATAGTTTCATCATATTTTCAAAAACCCTGCTTTCCATAAACAACATTTTGACAACACATGAAACACAGTTCTGATGAATAACTGTATATATTTCCGAAAACCACAACAACAAAGCTGCAGGAAAAAAAAAAAAAAAAATTAAAAAAAAAATTGTCTTTTCACTCAGGACAAAATATATAAAGCGAATCTATTTTTTTCCAAAAGTATGAGAATGGCAATACAGCTTCTGCACAACTTACATCAAAACTGCTAGCACATAATGTGGAGGTACACAGGTTGTAAGGTTTCATTCTATTTCCAGTTTTCTATAGTAACCACAGCCAACAAAGTTTCCATGACTGTGAATCACAGGAAGGGACACAACAGCCACAGAAATGGCCCCTTCTCCTTCCAAGCCCACATAGTGCTCTTCCACCCACAAAAAAAGAAAGACAAGACCAAATCCCATCATACAGGAAACTCTCAGTGTATTTTGCAATGGTCTCTTTTGTACCTGACCATCCTGGTAGACAGCGGCAGTAACCCGTGGTAGGATGACAACCATCTGCATGGCTGCAGTCACAGCGTTCAGCACAATCCATGCCATATGTGCCGTCCTGCAGCCAGGAAAACAAAACAAAACAGAGATGATGAGAACTGAGAGTTGGATGAGAACAAGTTCTGGTCAGTCCTGCCGCAGAAAAAAAGGAAACCTCAGATCTCTTCTAAGCCTGTAATCAGTTTGCTTAATATAAAATGCTTCTGGCTTTTGGAAAATGTTCATGCTCTACATTTTCATTTTTTTATTTGAGCAGGGAAGATAAAGAATTAATTCTGGATTAATTTTTTAGAGAACACAAAGCTACCCTATCACTGGTACCAATGTAAGTTTCTTGTACTGTCCCTCTGATTTCTCTTACAGCTGAGTCCCTTGTCTATGACCTTGGAGTCCTAGAGGCAGGAAATTAATTCACTTTCCTTTCTGCCTCAGATTTTTTTTCATGTATTTGTTAAAAAAAAAAAAAAAAGAAGAAAAAAAGAGATGCCATTTAAACCCACAATTTCTAAAAAAAGAGTCAAATAGGAGTGAAACATATTAAAACACGTGTTCAGTGTAAAGATTATTTCATAAATAATGCACACTGTATCACTTTCTCTTGATTGATAATGTTTTCCTCTGTATAACAGCATAGAATGCATTAGAAAAAAAGCTCTCTGGCTATTACACATTACACACAATTATATTTTGGCCGTTGACCATTTTTGAACCAACAAACAAGGTAATCAAAAGGTTAACATTACAAGTTAAATAACCTTCTCAGTATGTTCAACTGTGCCAAAAGAACACAGCTGATTTTCATGGAACTATATCAGAATATATGAATTTGACTTCCAGTTTCTTCAGTAGAAGGTGCCACAAACTTTTAGACAATAATTTCATATAAGGTCAATCTGAGAAACAAAACAGAATAAAATTTTTACAATTGCTTTTTCAAAAGAAGGCAAAAAAAACATCAGCAAATAGAAAATGTAAATACAATATCAAAACCAAGGAGAAAGGCAGGATAATTTTGAGTAATACTTCTGGGACTACTCACAGCAAAGGAAATAAATAAAGAAAAGATATGTCAGGTTTAAAAGACAATCATAAAAGACCAGATGAAAAACTGGTCAAAGTTTCATTAAAAAGTGGAATAAAACATATATCATAATTCATCTGGTAACCCTTTTTTTTTTTTTTTTTTTTTTTCCTGTAGAGTTTCACAGATCTGTAGGATACAGATATTAAATTCCTGGTCTGTCACGTCTGAAGTAGAAAAAATCATGCATTACTTGAGAATAAGGAGAGTTTTGCGTATCTGAAGAATCCATTTTTATAGACAGAAAAAGAAAAGATTAAGGAAGGCACTTCCTTTGTTTATAATCAGATTTGGAAATAAAGGAAATTCCAAAATATATTGCTGAAAAAGGGTAATTCTAGTCTGCTATGTACTTTGTCCAAACTCAAGTCAATCTTGATTAACAATCTGAACAGTGGTATTGATTTTCTAAATCTAATGAAAAAAATGAAATTCATTGATATGTATTTGCATATGGAAAAGATTCTATTTGATACAGAAATAAAAGGAGGTGAGTGGAGAGTGAGAAAGTACATGATAGTAAGTTGATTGGGAATTGTAAATTTGAGAATTTCTTTTGAGCATTAGGTTGCTCAAAAGAATTTTGTATTTGTATTTGAAACAATGGAGCAAATGGCAACAATACTGATCTTTTCTAACGAGGCACTTTTAGAAGAGCTAATGGAACTTCAGAGATATTTATCAACGTCTTTCAGAATTAGATGCTAAGTGATATGTAAAGCTACTTTAGAAAAACAAGAATTAGTCTTCTAATTGAGATGCATTTGTTGAAAAGGCTGCATAAACACACACAGGAAGCACTCTAATCAGCTTTCCACAATATTTTAGAGTTTGTGTGCCACTTTACTTACAATATCAGAATGAGCATATGCTAAACTACATCTAAAAAAAACCAAAGACGTTCCCAAAAAAAATCTTTAAGAATGCTCTGACAGCAGTTGATTCAAAACAAAGGTGTGGCTTCCAGTTGTATGCTGTAGTTCAGCTACTTTTATCATGTTACTGCTAAACAGAGGTAGTGCAAACTGACAGAAGCTTGAATATGATGCACACAGGGAATTTAGATGGTTCATACTGAATTCAGGTGATTCCTTTATTTTTACATTATGCCACCAACCTGCTAGGGAGATGGCACTGCAGAAATGAAAAGAGGACAAAGACAGAAAAAAGAGAGCAAAGAGAAGTTTCTTTAAAAAAATAAAATAAAATAAAAAAAGAAACAACAAAATTTGTTTAAAATTGCCAAGAAAACTGGAATCTGTCATTAGAAAAGATGGGCTCTGGAAAAACACATTTTTTTCACCAAAAAATTATTTTTGTTTTGTTTATGAAATGTATTTAGAATAGTTGAATAATAAAAACAAATTGTTTGCATTTTCCATCTTTCTGTGTTTTGAAATTAAGGAATTTTATGGCTTCTTATAGTGTAGAACAGAACTGATTAGACACATGTTCTGTCTACAGAGTGATTTCTGTCTGGGGTATAATAGAAGCCACAGTCCCAATAGAAAAGCAAAGGTCTGTCATGGGATTGCATGATAAGGATGCCTTCTCATGTCTGACTGAGAAAGGAAGTTCTTCATTCAACCTTACCACAGATGTGGCTAATTTAATTAAAATCATGTTGCCTAATGCAGAATATGTCTTTGCTACATTTTTCTGTCATTGTTTTTCCTTAAAGTAATTTGATAGAAGCAGTTTCGATGACATTTCGTGCTGAAAAAGAGGGAAAAGTTGGTACTGTGTTTTTCAATAAATCCTAAAGGAGCATGGGAAAAGTCTCAGGTTAAACTTTCAGGTGTGAAATCAGAAAAAATGTTCATCTGTGCATCTCTGTCTTGTGTAGTCATTTCTTGGATAGTCACTGCTGCTGGACTTGATGATCTTAGAGGTCTTTACCAAACTTAATCATCCTAGTCATTCTACTCTGTACTTCAGTGTGCTGTGCAGCAGAGTTCTTCCAGAAGTTTTTTTGCTTTATGTCCCTAATCTTGAACCTGGTCAAACATGGGATGACTGTTAGGTGCAGTGCTTCTTAGGGATTTATTCCCATGAAGTGAGAAGAATTACACTTGTCTCCCCCTGCCCGGTATTAACACAATGCCATACTGAGCAAAATGATTGAACTACCTGGCAAGGGAGTTCACACTTTTCTCCTCTCCAGCCTGGGGCGCAGGTACAGGTTCCATCCAGAGCATTGCAAGCCCCTCCGTTAAGACACTGGCAAGTTAAGTTACAGCCAAGTCCCCAGGTGCCGCTGGGACAATTGATTGAACAGTCTACACCATGCCAACCTACCATAAACAAGAATTAAAGGGACAAATTAATCAGGTTTTCCCCCAGCTCCTCATTGAGCACACATTTCCCTCCACCTCCCATTTGGAATCTCTGAGGCACAGAGAATCACTATAAGATAGTGATACTATTTCAGCTGAGGATTTGAACAAAGACGCAGAAGGGCACCTTGTAACATCTGTGCACAGCACATACTTTGCAGACAGTGCCAACATACAGGAGCTATTGATGAGAGATTTGAAAGGAAATCACAGACACCTTGAGATTTTACTGAGAAGCACTATCTATCTTGAAAGTTCTAAGGGATAGCCTGAAAAAAAATTCTAATCTTTTCACTTAAGCTGCTACTTTCATAGTTCTTACACCATTACTAAATATAGACAGTTCTGCAGTGTGGTTTATCAGAAATCTTAGATTCTCCTCCTCACTGCACCCCTCCCCCAAAGAAAAATATAAAAATAGAGAAAGTACAACAGTAAAGTAGTGCACAAGCTGGATTTCTCCAAGGATACACAGAAGACCTTGTAGATGACTTCTGCACTTCCCTTCAAACACAAAATAGAATGTAATGGAAAGTGCCTCTGAAATGCAGCATTCACCACTGATTATGTCTGATAGCAATGATTCACAGACTGTGCACTGGATAAACAGAAATGTAAATAGGTTTTCAAAAATGTGATCAACCACTGGGTATGACAGAAAACAAGTGAGCCAGTCGTATGTTATCATCAGCAATGACACAAGCCAAGTTTCTAATTTTGTACCTTGTTTACAGTAAGTGAAGGGAAAAATAATTCAGCAGAGAGTACAATCAATAGACTATGCAAAACAAATGTATTGAAATAGAGCTGCCTCGTGTCCTAGATTGATAATTTCAGAGTTTAGGGGTCATTTCAGGGAAAATGTTACACTGTAATAGCTAGAAAATTGAGACATTTTCTCTCCAGTGTTTTTCAAGGCTTTTTAAAGTTTCCTTCTCCATCTCCTTAAAGAGCTTTCCATAGCATAAGCACAATTAAAAGAGGCAAATAATGTCAGATTTTGAATCTTTCAGTGGCAGACAGGTTACGTTCTCCAAATGCATGCTGATCTACCCACACTAACCTGCTTTTCTCAGAGCTACAGAGCTGCCTCATTTTTAAATATCATGATTGAAAAGCAATGTGGCTACTAATTCAAAAAGCAGAGGAAGAATTTTCGTAGGAGCAAAGCAGGGAAGTGGTAGTTATGTGACTATGCAACATGTGAAAACTGGAAGGTATTCTCATTCCATTGAAATCTATGGGATTTTCATCATTGTCTTACTTGTGTCAAACCAACCTCCAAAGCACTGGGGACCTGAGTTATTAAACTTGTAGAAAGTATCCTCAGTTAATAGGGAAAGGATGTAAAGAGACATGATCAGATGTTTGAAGCACCTCTCCTACGAAAAGAAGTGGAGAGAGCTGGGCTTGTTCAGCCTGGAGAAAGCCCTGGGGAGACCTCATTATGTCCTTCCAGCACTTAAAGAAGGCTTAAAAACAAGGAGGAGATTGACTTTTTAAAGGTGAAAGGACCTCTTCAAAACGTGTCTCTTATTGAGAGACCAACATCAGTATTAAAATGGCAGAAAAATAATTGTGTCTCTGTGGTACAAAGAGTGTGGTAGACAGAGCTGGTGCTCATCCAGATAGAGCAGAAATAGGGCTGCTTTGGCTAGGAAGCCTAACAACACATAAACTGTGTACCAGAAGTCATTGTAGCAAATCCTAACCCTGCCATGAACAGACAAGTGGCAGCCCTTCTCAGAGTAAATAAATAGTAGTAGTTCACCCAGCCACAATATCCAGCTCTTTCAGATGAATACAAAGTATGTTTCCTCTTCTCTGAGCAGATACTCTCCCATTTTTCACCTTTCGCTGCAGGAGAAGCATAGAGAATACAATACGTGGCCTCACAGTTGGTCTGCTGTTTATTAAATGCGTTGCTTCTCAACTTCAAAAACTCAACTTGATTTTGTGATTTCAGAATATTAATCTGAAGACACACTTACCTGCTTTGCAGGCACAAGAACCATCTACTGGTGAACATATGGCTTCGTTTTTACAGTTGCAGACAGAAGAACAATTTACTCCATATGTACCCGGAAGACAAGGAGTACCACAGTCAGCACCCTGAATTACATAAAAATAGAGTCTAAAAACTCTTACAGAAAGTTCAGACAATACAACTATCTGTGACAAACTACCTGGACATGGAATTGACTGATTGTGATGACTGACTCAGATGCCACACAAGCCACGACTATCTTAGGCTGTCACTAATTTATCCTGAATTTAAGGGAAAAGAAGTCTTTGGCACTGAGTTCTCCATGACTTTTAAGTCTACTATCACCATTAGTTTTCTATTAGTTGCAATGAGAGCTCATGTCACATAGCTAATGAACAGCACATGGTGAGATCAATAGATGGTATTTTTAGTAATAAAAAAGTCCTTTGCAAAACCAAAATACAGTCAGATAGTAGTTTAATGGAAAATACTGTGGTTATGTAAAATCTTTTAAGACTTAATTTAGTTGAAATATTATTGCTAGAATACTCATACTGTAGAACACATTTCTGTGTTATATTATTAGCATCCAATGCACAAAGAACAGCAAATGTGTAAAAGCTACTGAATAATGTATCTTAAACTGTAAAAACAAGTGTCTTTGTCTAGAGTTTCTCTGAATGGAGCACAAGGAATCAGTACAGTAAGATAACAACTGAAACCTATAGTTCATTCCTTTATTTACATCTCAGGAGCACTTCCTGATTTGTATATCAATGTCCTATGAAGCAGTGAACTTTTCTTTCTTAACCATTGTTACATTTCAGTACTTAGAGCTAAACACAAATTCTGCCTTTCCTGGGTCTTATTCTGTAAGACACCCTGTGATAACCAAATATTCTTACCTCTCCTTTTCTGTGTTAGAGAAAGGGCACTCTGGCATCTTTAACCCTTCTGCACTTCAATAAAGAAAGTGAAACTTATTTACCTTAAACCCAGAGGCACAGGTGCATTTTCCAGTCACGCTGTCGCAATCAGCACCATTTTGGCAGCTGCAGATCTGCTGACAAGACTTGCCATAGAACCCTGGAGAACATGTCTCATTGCAGTAGAGCCCAGACCAGCCAGGCTTGCAGGAACATTCCCCAGACATAGGGTGACAGCTGCCAAGAGGGGATGAAAGGATAAATAATTCAGGGCTAAATGTGACACCAGTATTTTTTTTTCCGGAGAACAAAATGCTGTTACAGATAGGTTGCATAAAGGATCTTGCATTCTATGCATAGAGATGGGTTTCCTCCCCAAACCACAGAGCAAAGGGCTCTGTCTATACATGTAAAAATGCATGCCAACTAAAATAAGAGAAATTAGTATTACATATCATACAGACATTTTGGGAGGACACACAGAGAAAAGAAGATATATCATTTTTTTTGCAGCTTGTTGAAGACAAACTTAACTCTTAAAAAATAGTTTTGACTATTAAATACATATCCATGGTTACTGATATTGAAGTGATGAAAGCATTAAAATCCCCAAAATGTATCACTAGATGTTTGTCTTAACAAGAATAGGATCCTTTTCATAAGGCTGACCAAATTCAGCAGCAATTTGTCTGAGAAATGATGCTTCACTAAAGTAACAATAGGAAAACTAATCCTAAAACATTAACACAACATTAAATGAGTTGCAAACTTGCTCTTTCCAAACCTCTAGTTTAAAAGAGAACAATAGGCCTCTTTCCAGGAATGCTACAAAATCGTTTGCATTGGGCAGAATTCAGATATACCACCAGGAATCTTTTGGAGAATATCTCCCCTATGTTGGCCATACCTGGTGGTAGACCATCTGTCCCTACCTGGAACAGCAGTTCCATTGAAGAACCAGTCAGACAGCTGTTGCCTCATAACAAATGGACATCATCAGCTGTGCTAAGATGTATGTGCTGGAGAAGTGGACACAATGGGGTACTCTGTAGGACTCTGGCAGACAAAGCACTTGCTTAATTCTCACCAAAGGAAAGCCTTAAAATCCAAATCCAATATATTTACAATGGGAAGACTGTTTAAAGATGTTTGTCTGCCACTGATTGAAGTTTCTTTAAGTGTGCTGGAAAAATGTGCCTTTGTCCAGGCATGTTAAATTACCCATGACAAGAGACTGATTCTGCAAAATTTGCTTACAATTTGTGTGGGGGTGTGTGGTGTGTATGAAATAAAGTATTTTCCTAGCCACTGGAAAGTTTAAAAAAACACCTACTACACTTTTAAGTACTATAACATAAGTAACAATCATGTTCTTTGAAAAAGCTGCAAAACAAGGAAACACAGTATTAATTGCTCCTAGTCTCAAGATACAGTCTTTCAAACCAGAAGTTTCTTATTGCGAAACACAACTGACAAGGTAGTGCTGATCAAGGAAAGAATGAATTATAAAGGCATGGAATGTTATTGTATAGTCAGTTCTGTATATACAATTGTATACACTTTAACAATACAAGAATTTGAGGGTCATGAAGAATTAAAACGCCTTTTTAAAAGTATTAAGCTAGTGTACATAACGCCTAGAGGAAAAATTGTTTTAGCTAAATGATGCATGCAAAATTGATTCAAAACTCATGGGATTCGTAGTCAACACTTCTGGTTATTTATTCAGTTATAAGTATACTTACCAGTGAAACAACTTGGAACAGAACTGTACTCATAGAAAACAAAACGCTAGACTAAGAAAACACATGATGGGAGAATCAGATTTGTACCCTATTCTTAACTCCATCCTGTAGACATTTTGTAGTGGCATTTTGGATCCAATCCCTAGGTTTCTTATCAGTGAAGGAATACAGGCAGGGAATATGGAAGGGTTGTTAAATCCATAACTGAACAGTCATTAGAATATGAATCAGAATATTTTAAATGTAAAATTAGTAGTACTGTCATTTTAAGAAATATGAGTAAATCCCAGCTTCATTTGTTGTTGGTTCTTTTCCTTTCAGAATAGAGGGAGACTACATGCACGAGCAAGCATTAGGTATGAAGCAGACAGAGGCATCGATATTCTGTACCCCCCCAGTGAGTGTTACAAGGCATACTTGCACATATATTGATTGACACTAAAATTAGTACTCCATAATTTGTAATTAGATGTAGGAAGCTGGAGTTGTTCTAAAGCTTTTTGATGGGTTCTCATGCAGTTAGCTTAATTAGATTTATGATAAGATAGGGAAACAAAGACATGTTGAGAAATGCTGCCAGTATGTTCACTTTTATTTGCAGTCTTTTGTTCACACTTTCTAGAAGTGTACACTTTGTACACTGACATAAGATATATCTGTGAAAATATATATTATAGCAATTCAGATGAATGTCTTGATTTTCAGCCAGCTAACTCACTCTGGATTTATTCTTGGCTGTCTAGTAAAAAAGAGAATATCTATAGTGTCACATAATGAGGGAACAGAAGCCTGTGTCCGATTTTCACTCTAGCTCATACCTATGAAAATACGTAACATCACGTGACTGAAGAAGGTTGTTATCTGCTGCTGTCCAAAAAGAACAAAATCTCTGGAATACATCTGTATCTGACCCTTTATGGGGTGTATGGCTGTTTTGGCTGCTACTGTTCATAGCTAGAACAGCAATGTGCATGCCTTTCACTCTCAGGAGCTCCATTAACCAACAGCAGCAGCAAATAACTGTAGCTTAGCCTACCCTACATGTAAATTAACTTCACTTTTTTTTAAGAAATGAATTATTGGCAGAGTTGTTTTGATGCCATTTCCTCAATCATAATATCATAATAGAAATGTGTACACAACATTTTTAAACTATAATACATCACTGTGGTTTTCCATCTTTAAGCACTTGAAGAAGTACACAAGTACCTTCTTGTGTACTGCAACTTACCTACAGATCACAAATGCTCACATGTAAACGGTAGCATATAGTTGGCTGTTTTTTGTCCTTTTTAAAAACAAAACAAAACAAAACCTTTTAACCTCCATATGACAAATTAAAAGGAACTCAACAGCACTGCAGGTGTGACAGCATGTTTGCAAGAGCATAATAACCAATGAGGAAAACAGAAAATTTCAAGACTTCACAATTTTTCACATTTAGGTTTCATCTGAGATCAGGAATATTTTTTACCGCTAATTACTTTTTTTAAATTAACCTCTGGTTCATTTTTTTATCTGTGAATGCAAGAACGTATACAATACCACGGAGCTCAGGACCTACCAACAGCTTCTTTTTGAGCAATCTGTATCAATGGTCATATGTAGGTGAAAGATCCCAAGAAGTCCCTTCAAAGTCCTAGATATACAGACACACGGAGTTTATACAAAGAGGAGATACAGTACAGTACCTTTTTAGTATCCTGGGATTACTGACTGCTGTTAAATGGATTAGTGCTATGAAGATCCTTTGGCTAAAACAAGCCCAAATATTACTTGTGGTAAGAAAGTACGAAATGAGAATATTTCCTAATGTGTTAAGAAAGTCGTATCCTGGATGACTGATATTTAGTTGTGTCCTGGATGACTTGCTTCTCAAGAAATTGCCAAAAGTGACATGTCTGCAGGGAAGTTCTCACTTCTGAACTATTTGTTTCAGTACTTATTTGGAGCTTAGTTTGGAGGAAGACCAACTTTTTACTCAGGCAGATAGTCAAAAGATAAAGGGAAAGCCTTTGAAGTAAAAGGGGGGAAATTAAGGTTAGATGTTAGGCAGAAATTCTTTACTCAGAGGGCAGTGAGGCCCTGGCACAGCTGCCCAGAAGAGCTGTGGTGCCCCCTCCTAACAGGTGCTTAAGGCCAGGTTGGATGGGGCCCTGGGCAGCTGAGCTGGTGTGGGGCAGCCCTGCCTATAGCATGGGTTGGGGCTGGGTGGGCTTTGAGGGCCCTTCCAACTCAATCTCTTCCAATGATTACTCAAATAGCCTTTTAGCCTTTGATTTCTGTTATTTGCTGATATTATTCACCTATGACAAATGCACTTTTAAAGTCATGAAAATTTTTGTTCTCCTCACTGTTACTATGCCCTTGCAAATATGCTCCCACACCTATACTGCTATAGACTTTTTATTTGTCATATGGAGGCAAAAATGTTCAAAAGACCAATCAACCATATGTTACTGTTTACATGTGAACATTTGTGATCTGATTTGACGACAAGCTGTCCTGCACAGTATAAATGAAGAAACAGCTGTGTTGAACATGAACCAGGAATAATTCCTGTGATATCAGCAACACTATACATTGTAATGCGTTCCTGTCAAACAAAGCTTCTGCAATAGTCTACAGACACATTTGCAGAAAAGTAGCTAGTATAATTCATAACACAATAGCATTTGGTCTCCCAGCATAATTTGAGAGCTAGACAGGTCAACGTTATGATTCCACTTATTCTTGAATGTATTGCCCAAAGTGGCTTGATTTTATGTCAAAAACATTTTTTTTGTTGTTTTTGTTTTTGTTTCTTTTCCGGAAGGCATCTCATGCAAATGGGATAAGCAGAACTGCAAGTACACGACTGTGCAAGCACATGAATGGAAGGTAAATTCAGCTTGCTGTCACATCTCTTGCCAATGAATGGTATGTTCAACAACTCAGGCAATCCACAAAACAATTTTTCACAGAGCCCTAATAGGTTATTTCCACATAAGTGCTTGAGTGCTTTAACATCACTTCTAAATTCTAACTAAAGGCTTTTTTTTTTTTTTTTTAATCTGTATACAAAGTACAACAGCATTCTATGCTACAGTAAATAATTTCTGCAAATTTCTCTGACAACAGTTTTCAATAGCCAAATTCATCATATACTCACAAAAGTTATACAAGGTACTGTGACCATTAACAAAGGCACATGTAAGCAAATGCAGTGAAGTATTTCATCAAAGGAACAGTTTTGTAATAAGAATTGTTCTCTAAATACACTGACTTGCTTCAACTGACATTCCTCCTTCACAGCTGAAAGAGTGTCTCCAAATAATTAAGTCTACAGATTTTCATAACAGTATGTTCAGAGTGGAGTCCACAAAGACATACAAAACTCAAAAAATAAGACTATATCTGAGAAAGGAGAGATGGGAAAAAGTAAGATGTGTGAAAAACTACTTTTAGTTGGTTTCTAGGGATCAGATTTTAAGAGCTTTCTGGTGTTTAAGTGACAATTAAAAAAAAATAATAATCTAGATTTACAATTGGTAGGGCTTCAGAAATTTCGGATTAGAATATTCACCTGCTCTGATTCTTATAGAGGGGAGGGAGGGAGAAAGAAGAGAGAAAAATGGATTCTCCTGCCTCACTGGACTCAATCTTAAGACTATATACCCATTGATTTCAATTGAGTTCACATTTAAGTATCCCAGGGAACAGACTTCATACAGTGAGAAATACAAAGATATATTCATGTGGTAAATACTGAAAAAGTTCACATTTTGTCATAACATTTATATCAAGTATCAGTGATAGAGGTTAATATTAAGAATAAATACACATACAAGTACCAACAATCAGAAGCTCTTTGGAGTTGGTATCTTCTTTCTTATTATGGCTAGAAAATACTAAAGACTCCCAGAAATCTTTAGTTGCTTCCATTTTCATGAATATATATCAGAAAGCCCTTCTGCATCAGTTATTATTTCTTTTCAGATTATATTCTTATCTCTCAGGCCTACATAGAAAAAGAGAACAGGCTAGAGGGTGTAAAGCCTACCTCCAAGTATTATGCAAGTGGCAGGGACACTTTTTGTCACATTTGAGGCCATAAACTCCCTCAGGGCAAAGCCTGGTTTCACAGTGCTCTCCAGTGTATCCTGGATCACAGAGGCAAGCACCACTGATATGGTAGCATTTCCCACCATTCATACACTGGCACGTCTCAGCACACTGTACTCCATAAGTGCCCACTGGACACTCATCTTGACATCTGTGAGAAAAACAAAGGAGAAAGCGATTAATTTTACTTTAAGTAAACTACAGCTTTTAGGGATTTAAGGGAAATTCTGTTGGCGAGGAATCTGACTCAGGTCTAACATTTGTCATAAGTAGACCAAAAATTCATATACCATTATATTTTAAAATGCATGTGTCTCTGGATTCCTTTGCTAACAAGAGAGGCTTAAAAACCTCTGCAGATTACTCTGGAAAAGTTCTCTCTTCTCTCCAACAAAGGAGACAACAGACATGCACAGACCACTGCATTTCATATTCAATAACCAGAACAGAATTGAATCCTCTTATATCAGAAGTTAGGTATGAAATGTAATAAATTTTCAAGAATTTTGTTTCAAAAGATGTCCACCCATAATTTTTATCATTATTTATTTATTTATTTTTGGTTAGTGATCTGGATATTCCACTTAGCAATACCGTGAACAGCCAGCAGACATTTCTGCCCCTGCAGACATTCAGACAGAAGATTCCTTGCAATTGCTCTCAGCTGACTCCAGAGAGAGTATTTTCTAATTATGTTTCCAAACATATGTTGTTTTCACAGTGACTTTATTTCCTGAATTTCATTCTGGAATTTTTCTTTATATCGTTTTCTTTACTGTTAGTAGATTCATATAATGACCTGGGAAAATCATCAAAAATCCCAAACTCCTTCTTTCATCTGACTTTACTGATTTTGTATTTATATGATAGAGAAGACTGGAGTTTAATTCATATTGCTATGTAGCAGTAATTACTTTTTGCTCCTTAAGGAGAATGTCTTCTAATAAATATAACTGTTCATCAAAGTTTTCTCTTTCATTTGCAGAGTGTTTAGAAGATAACTGATTTAGCTAATTTGTATTTCATTAATCTTTCATACATTAAACACATTTTACATAAAGATCAGACCATATGTTTAACTGTCTAGGCCTGACTACTAAAGGACAATTTCCACCAACTGTGAACTTGAAAATTGATTCCTGTTGAGTCCCCTGATAAAGCTCATTTAGTGATTTAACAGATATGATGCAAGCTTCATCTTCTTCATCTTTAACTGTCAGTAGCACTACAGAACCAGTAAAGGCTCCAACATCAAGGACACTTAAAATACTGGGTTGTGTGTGTCAAGGTAGACCTCTCAGCTCAACAGGTTCATGCCCCAGAGCCAGGGATGATAACATTTCATATGTTGTGTCTCAGGGAAAATATCCATATTCAACAGGATAAGTAACCTATAAACTATTAATTATGTAAACATAGACAAAACAATAAAATAACTAAATCTCAGAGCTTCTGACCAGAACGTTCTGAGACCAAAGCCATGAGGCCTGTTGTCAGTTCATCAGGGAATAATATGCACATAACATCTACAATTTGGGTACATGTATGCTTTATCAAGTTACAGATTACCTGATAATATCACACATTGTTAATGCTTTTATCAGCTTAAAACTTGATGATTTCACCAGTCACGTAAAAAAATCTAAATGATAGACTCTTTCCACTTTTCTTATACAGTTAGCATTTAAGACTAGAACTGTATGATTGATGGTTTACTTCAGGAGAATTTCAAAGGCTAGCATGATACAAGACACTGCAACATGTTCAGCAGAGCCCTGACAGCCAAGACTTTTCAAATATGAGGGAAGGTGGCTGGGCTGTCACATCAGCCACCTAAAGAGTCAACTTTTGATATTCATTGTGACCTTCTTTTCCAACACATTTAGGTAATATTCAGCTCTATACGTGGATCCCTGGTCATGATCTACCAGGTCACACAGATGAGCTTATCAATACGTTTTTCATGTTGTGGTGTCACAGCTGTGCATAGCTGTCCAGAATGTGGTTTGTCTTTCTCATCACTATCACCACTGCTGAAACACACCACCTACCCCCTCACTATGCTCACATCCACTGTTTGGTCTCCATAAACATTCACCAAGCATCAGTGGATGTCAATGGGTGCTATTTTTTCTGCATGGAGGAATTCAATGACACACCTCTGCTTCATATACACTTCCATGTCAGACATCATTCTGTCAAACTGCCCCTCTGCTGCCATCTGTCAGAAAGCAACGTGTAATGGGATATCAGTGGGAAGGTTCAACCTCTACTGCCATACCACCAACATCCTCCTCAGATATCACGGGTCAACATAATAAAATAGGAAGCATTTCTTTCAGAGCAGCCCTCATAATTTTTGCATGCTCTGAACTAAGTGTGTCTCTTCTTCATTTTTTTTTTTTTCCTTATGCCTGACACAGCTTTTTCTATGTCCTGCGAAGCTCATGTGGGAAGAGCATACGGTTATAATACTTACTATTGTTGGCAGAGATCCCCTGGACTGACCACAGTGATTAAGACACTGCTGACTTCAGCAAATGAGTTGTATGCAGTTTAAAATGTACTCAGAAAAGCATTTTTTTCACCACTTTTCCCTGCCTTAAAAATTGCCATTTTCTTTCCCCTAAAATCTACTAAAGAAGATTTTTTAACAGCAAATTAGAAAATAGCGAAGTTTCATTTCTTTGTTTGAACACAATACTTTAGAATACAACTCTCCAGCCTGCTCACTTTGAAGAGGAACAGGAGGAGCCTTCCTTGCTACAGCCACTGCCAAACATCTGGAGAAAACCAAGAGCTTCTCTCCTTACCCCACAGCTCTATCTATATCATTCTGCACAGCGCTCGAATGAAGCCCCGCAGGACACTGGCAGTGTGTGGGCCACAGCATAAAAATCCTGAAACCAAGCAACTCTTCACAGAAGAGTAATCACTTTTAACTTGAGATTCAATATCTGATAAGTGATGTGGAAAACACTTCACAAAACTTTTAATGACATAATGGGCATTTTCATTTGTCTTTCTACCCCTTCTCTACTTTCTCTGTTGTAGCAGATCCCTTGCAGGTTCAGCAGTCTGGCAAAAATAATTTTTTTCTTACCTTTCCCCTATGTAGCCTGGGCTGCAATGGCATTGACCTGTCGCTGAGTCACAGATCCCTCCATTGTGGCACTGACACTCCTGGGAACAGTTTTCCCCATAACGACCCTCAGGACAAGGCTGACCACAGACCATGCCCTGTGTATGCAGAAAAAGAATCTTACATTTTGATTTCAGGTTGAATGGACGAGGAAGAAAGGTTTGCAATGAAGGGAGAGCAAGATCATGTCACTAATCTAGTGCAGATCCTGGAAATGAAAGGCTCATCTCTAGCTCATATGCATTAAATAGTAACAGTCCTCCAGGATTTCCATTTAGCAGGCCAAAGCTTGTGGAAAACAGTATTTCTAAACAACACTGAAAAACTAAAAAACATTTAAGACTAATTGATGTCAAACTCTTCCCAATTTCTTTATTAGCAGCTGGATATATCAAGACATCTGAAAATGCCCTCCAGTGAATAAGAGCGTAGAAATCTCCACAATTGCTGTAATGCACCAATTACACGACTTCGTGATCTCTTGTTGTTATTTCTGATGAAAGGAAAAGCTGCCTAATTTCACTGAAAGCAGTGAAATACCTTAAAAGCTTCTTTTCCACAAGACTTCAATTTCCGAACTGCTAATTACATATTTGGAATTAACTGCAGTGTGTACTGACAGAAGTATCAGACCTTAAGACTTCTAAAAAGCCAATTCAAGAGAAGCAGATTTACAAGTGTCTCATCAGGCAAAAAAATACATGGGAATTTTAGCTAACATAAGAGACTTTAGAGCTTGTATTTGACTATTTTATGCCAACTTTACATGGAAAGCAAAAAAAAGGTTATGTTAACAAAATTGTCACACAAAATTGAAAAGTCTAAAACTAACATTGAATTATGCTTAAATAACTATTTAGAGTGGATAAGTAATCTAAAAGCTAAAGAGTAACTTATTAGTTATTACACTGGCAGAAATTTTTCACTACTTCTTCATATGCTGTATGTCTTTACATTAGTGGCATTGAGGCCAATAGAGGAAGTAAAGGCAAAATGCAAACAACTGTATCTTGTGATCAATAACTTATGTTCTTCCATCATGACATGGAATAAATGTTAAAATCACCATAATCCAAGTTAGGTTGACAGGTGAGTAATGCTCACACGGTGAGACATCATTTGCTCACAATGATGTGCAGCCCTTGCTGGTGAAGAGCTCGTGTTACCACTGAACTCCTCATATATCGTGAGCTAATTCGAAGTTCAGTAAATGTGGATTTTCACCCATCGCCATGTATGTAAAAAAAAAAAAAAAAAAAAGAATAAATATGATTGTAAATACTATCTGCAAATGTTTTCTAAGGAAACTGTTGGGCTTTGATCATTTTCCATCCTTTTGATCACCTTCCAACTTCCTAACTCAGAACTGGCAGTCTGGTAAGGGAGCCTACATGCAAGTGAGGAATTTCATTTGTAGCTTCTTTCCCTACCCACTGACCAGAAGGTAGAAAGTGAAAAGATAATGGTCAAGTTCTGATGTCTTGTTTCTGTTAGCATCACTTAACACAATACCTTAAAATTTGGGTTTTGTTCTGTTTTTTGAAATGCATACTGTACATTTGAAAACAGATGCAAAATCCTCCACAAAAAATACATAATGTCTCTCAAAGGAGGTATCAGCTCCCTAGAGTATTAAGTTCTATCTGGAAGTGAACACCTTCTAGACAAAATTCAATGGATACTACCTGGTTATGCTATAATTCAGTCCCTTGTTTCCCATGACCTTACATGGTTAAAATGGCAGTGCAGAGCTGGAGGATTTTCAGCAACAGATGGTTATTCAAGTATTTTATTCCAGTTTTTCATGCTGAAATACACTTCTTATTACTCCTGGCTACATTTTATGTTCTAATTCACTGCTCTTTTTTTTATGCTGCCTGAAATCTAGAAATTTGGAAATTTTGCAGGGCGCTGTTGATTTCAGAAAACGCTTTTACCATCCATCCAGGTGGGCACGCGCACTCCCCGGTCACGTGGTGGCAGATGCCTCCATTCTGGCAGGGGCATCTTTCCTCGCACTGCGGCCCATGCTTCCCCGGGGGGCAGAGATCCTCGCAGCTGCAGAGGTGGTACACAGCAGACACGACTGTTACTTTGGCACAAGGCTCGCTCTCCAGCTACCTCCGTATTGTTAATGCTATCATTTGTTTGTGGTCAAAAGTAGGCAAGAGAAAGCAGTTCACAACAGAAGCAAACTGAATGTTGTATAGCATCCCTGCAACACACCTAAGGGAATGGACCTAGAATGTCACAGAATTACAGAATTGCCAGGGTTGGAAGCGACCTCAAGGATCATGAATCTCCAACCCCCCTGCCACACGCAGGGCCACCAACCATCCCACCTAATGCTAGACCAGGCTGCCCAGGGTCCCATCCAATCTGGCCTTGAACACCTCCAGGGATGGGGCATCCACAACCTCCCTGGGCAGCCTGTTCCAGTACCTCACCACTCTCTCTGTAAAGAATTTCCCCCTGACGTCCAACCTAAATCTCCCTTCCCTCAGCTTAAAACCATTTCCCCTTGTCCTGCTGTCACTCACCCTTTCAAAGAGTTGATTCCCCTCCTCTTTGTAGGCTCCCTTTAGGTACTGAAAGGCTGCAATGAGGTCACCCCACAGCCTTCTTTTCTCCAGGCTGAACAAGCCCAGCTCCTTCAGCCTGTCCTCACAGGGGAGGTGCTCCAGTCCCCTGATCATCTTTGTGGCCCTCCTCTGGACCCTCTCTAACAGTTCCCTGTCTTTTTTGTACTGGGGGCTCCACGCTTGGATGCAGTACTCCAGATGGGGCCTCACAAGAGCAGAGTAGAGGGGAACAATCACCTCCCTGTCCCTGCTGGCCACCCCTCTTTTGATGGAGCCCAATGTAACAGAAGTTACCTTCTGTAACTAACAGAATTTACTCCAAACTTGATTTCCCCCGTTAGCACACTTTGTACTCTGCATTTCCCCCCTGTATACAACATGTATACAACTACGTACAAGGCTCCAGTGTATCCAGGAGGACACCTGCACTCTCCAGTCACGTGGTCACAGGTGGCTCCATTCTGGCACTGACATTTCTGATGGCAGTCATTTCCATACGTCCCTTGGTCACAGCGCTCCTCGCAGCGCCAGCCTTTGAAACCGGACGCACAGTGGCAGGCTCCAGTGATGGGGTTGCACAAGGCTCCGTTTTTGCACTGACAGCGGCTGCTGCAGTGAGGTCCCCAGTGGTCACTGTCACAAGCTGGAAGGGCAGAAGGAAAAACGTAAACCACTTTCACAATAGCTCATGTTAGAGCACTGATGAAACTACGAGTCAACCGTAAGAAAAAAGAAAGAAAAGCCATACACCAGAGTTGTTGTTGGGCACATTTTCGGCTCCTTAATATTTTTGGTGGTAAACCATTATCTGGATGTAACAGATTTGGTTATCCAATGTGTCTTCATGAACACTCAAGTGCATCTTTTCTTGTGGGTGCCAGTGCAGCCCGTTAGAACCCTATAAGTAACCACTAAAGGTATCTCAGAATCAAAAGAAAAAACCTACTGTTTAGGAAGATTTTTTTTTAAGTGAGAAACATAGGAATTCTGTAAAGAGGAGGAAGGTTAAGGTCATTTAGAGTTCAGCAGGAATGAGCTAATCATATGGTCAAATGACCTGGTTTTATTTTTGTGTTCTATCAATAACAGCACTGCAATAGAAAAGCGTCAGTTGCAGAAAGTCTAGGCTCCCCTCAGTGACTGACAACCATTGTTCCCTCAGTCTTCTCCTGGGGCAAAAAAGACAGGCAGAGAACAGGCACGCTTTCCTGGAGTATGGCAAAGTAATTCGAGACACATCCTCAGGGTAGGAATTGTTCTGCTACAGGAGCTGTTCACTTAGGCTACACAAATGAAAAGGGATTAGAGCCTTTTAAGATTTTTTTCCCAGTAAAGATCACAAGAATCTGTATGCCTAATGGAGATATTGTGAACACCTACACACAGCAAAGAAAATATTATATGCATTAAAAGTGTCCAGCAATACTGTCAAACTGACAGAATGACTACCCACCTTATTGTCACTGTGGTTTCTCCATTTATTGACTTGATGACAATTATTTTCTGCTCTGGACTACACACACAGCACCGTACACCCCTATGGCATACAGCTCATTACAAGAGTCTTTACCCACAGTAACAAACATTCTTTCACAACTTCTACCTACTTCTTTTCAGCATACTCACATGGAACAGAATAGGCAATCTGCTTACTGGGCAGGTGATTGTCCTCAGACAACTAAATATTTTGGGATATAATTATATATGTAAGAACAGTGGAACTTCTGAGACAGATACAAGTTCTCTCATGACTGAACAGACACCTCTACACTTGTTTGTTTTTTTTTGTCTTAACACATCAGTATGGATTCAGATAACAGTCATTCTTCTGCTCCCAGACAAAATACACAATTTCAATTTCAGTTATTCCTTGTGGAATAATAATTAAAATCAAAACAAAGTTAGGGATGTCTGATGAACAGAGGAACCCAGATAGGCCAACAGTACATGGCTGTTCCAGTGCAGAACTAAGGATGAACATGGCCTAAACCCACCCTTAGATATAAAGATATGGCAGAAATGTTTGGTTCATGAATTCCAGTTTGTGCTCTTTTCCCACTAGCTGGTAAGTGGTGTGCAACACCATTCACACACCTTTTTGGAGAATGGGTTTAATTAGTTTCAGAGCCATATAGACCAAACCCACCTCGCATCTACCATTGCACAAACACCCAGGCACAGAGACTGCCTTGCTACTCACTTGTGAAGCAGCAGAGCCTTGCACTCCCTCTGCTCCTTTTAACCATTCCCAATCTGCTGCCTCTCCCTGGGATGCATCTTGCTGACTCCTGGGGATTTACTGACATATGGGATGAACGTGCTGTGCTGATGAACTTGAACCTTTCTAGACTATTTTAACTGCAAGAGCATGCACTGCACAGAATAAAATAATTTATTAGCTTCCTGACGTGATCTTCACATTATATTTGCAGGAAATCATTAAAATAAAAAGCAACAGACGGCTGCTAATAGGATTTCCAGCCTCATGACCATTCTCCTGGCAACGGCCAGGTGGGTAACAAATATTGAGTACGTGATTCTTCATTACAGCACAACGGTGAAGCGTCCCACCAGGACTGTGATGGCTGTACCATAGTATGGATGCACAACAGTCCATTATGCAAGGCCTGTCACCAGCCTAACATCTAACTGTGAGTAATGGGCAGAGCTATGGAGAAATTTGCAGAATTAAGGGAAAAAACTAGTATTTTTGAATGAGACATGTAAGTAGTGTATTTTACCTCTATATCTGATGGCTGCTAATCAGTAATATTCCCCCTAGGAAATTAAAGTGATTTGTCACAAACTGATACTCCATTTACCATTAAAGAAAGAAAAAGGCAAAGGGTAGAAATGTTTTCTGTGATGTGTTTATTTTTAGATAGTTTTGAAAGCTGAATTTACCAACTATTACATCAGACTGCTTCTGATACTTCCTAGTATTCAGAAACTGAGTAAGCTGAGCTGGAAGTTGCACAGCTGCTGGTCTGGTGGAATGGATAGTTTCTGCATTAATAACTATCGTCAGATTACAGACTGTCAGCTGGAGTTTAATCAGAATAGCTGCTCTGCTGTCCTGACTGCACCAAGGTCACAGACACATGCACATATGCTAACACTACATGCACACACACACCAAAGTGCCAGCTACTCGCTGCCGAGCAGAGCTGAGGTTGTACATCATCTGTCTCAGCACAGGGTGTGCATGAAAGAGAAGCAACGTAGAGAAACAAGAGTCCTGTGTTCAGAAAAAGCCAGTCTGTGCACCATGGTTAATTTTCTGTATTTATCATAAAGAAATAGCCAAATACTGCTGTTTTATGCAGAGCACTGTTCTTGCAAAGGTGAATATAATTTGTTGATGTCTTTTTTTTTCTTTTTCTTGCATATATATTGTATTCATCCCCAGTTATTTGGTGGTTGTTTTTTTTATTTGTTTGTTTTAAGTAGACATGTTATCTAAATGCACTGCTCACTGTTGGATTCCATGGGAGACTCCCGAGGTCCTTCCTACCTTCATCTTACACTGCTGGGAAAAAAAGTATTTCAAAGGAAATGCCTAACAACATGATGGTGTTGATGCCCTATCTTGTTGCCATTTTTGCTTTTATACTTTCTGTTAGTCTGCACGTCATGCAATGCTACAAATATCAGGTGGGAAACTTTTCCTTCAAAAGGCTGCTCAGTGAAAGCAAAAGCCTCTGGGAAAAAAGGCACCACATTGTATAAACCCTCAACTAAACAAGGAGGTATGGTACAAAACTCCAAGACAGTACAAGTCTACCAACACACAGAAATACACTATGAAACTGAGTGCCAAAAGTTGATTTTAGAAACATACAGAAGCTCAAGGATTCATGTGTGAAGAAAACACTTTTGAGAAAAAAAAAAAAAAGAAAAAATCCATGATGTAAATTGCCTTTTTTTTTTTTTTTTTTTGTCTTTTGCAGCTTTTGTGAAAGTTTTGATGTACTGTATTTCCCATAGCTTCAGTGCACACTGTCATTATATGAAGCTAGATGTGTTTTAATGCAAATGGTTTCTTAACTGCTGATGATTTGCAAATTGCAGCATAGGGAAACTTGGTATTTTATAACACAAAATAATTGATTTCTATAATTATTTAGAAGCATCTTTGAAGAATTTGCTTCTTATAATTTTTTTCTTATTCTGTATAAATAAATATATTTTTAACAAAATGAGATTGCATATTTGGTGGGCTTTTTTGTCTTTTTGGTTGATTTCATTGAAAAGCAAAAAAAAGAAAAAAATGAATAAGTAAGTTTATTTTTGACAAACCCATCTTGATCACCTACAATTCTATACTTCTGTAAAGAATGGCCTATAATGAGAACAAAATAAGGCTATCAAATCAGGTCAAAGAACATTTCAGTAAAATTATACTTAGAAACTCTGACTTACAACTACCCTATAAGAATGCTACAGTTCACTTTATTCAAGACAGACAGACAGTGATTTTTCTGTGGGGTTTGTTGGTTTTTTTTTGGGGGGGTTTTTTGGGGCGGTTTTTTGTGTGTGTTTTTTTTGATTGATTCGTTGGTTTACTTTTTTAAGATCTGACTTGTCTTTCTGTCTTCTTTTTTTTTTTTACTAACAGGGATTGAAAGCAAAAAATCATAGCAAAACTAAGATTTAGTATTTTTACCACTGTTACTTGAAGCTGTCCTCCATGCATCTCCAAGATAACAGAATGGAATTTTATTTTGGACTGCATGTCTTTCTGCCTTTTTACAGGAAAACACTGTTGTATATTTCTGGAATTACATAACATGGTTGCCAAAACAGAGGGGACTTTTTTTGGAGTACTGGGCTATAGAGCTTTTATGGTCTTTTAAAACAACTGAGAACAAAATCTCCATCTTCAAAAAGCAGGTACAAAGTGGACCACTCCATCTCTTGGCACACAATACTGTCAAGAACAAATCTAAAATAAACAAACAGTAGCAAATACGCAGAGTTCCTCTCTGTCTCTTCAAAACTTCAACATAATTTCCTCAGATAAGTCACAGCTAATAGCAAGTGAAAGACAATTTTCTTTGCTCCAGTATGTAAAATAAATTGAAGCTGCATGTGATTTCAACATTAGCTCTGATCATCCTTTCTTTTTTTCTATGTTGTCGTGTCAAGGATAAGACATAATTTTCTGCACTCACAGTGCTGATTTTTTTCCTGTTCCTTTGCCCCTTCCTTGGCATCGCTTCTTTGACTCTCAGATATCTATTGGTTTGTCCTTAGTTTCATGGCCTTTATAGTCTAGCCTTATCTATCATTTCTCATTCAGTGTACAAATATCAACCATCACATTTACACTGTCCATGACATTAGGCCCTTTGTTATATTTTGAGACCGTTGTCTTTCTTGTTTCTTCTCAAGTAGCCCCTCCAACTTGGCACAGCTCTCCATACAACAAACTATAAAATTGCTAAATCATCCTTCTCCATGTCTCCACCTTTCTATGAAGTCTACAAAAAGTGAACAGAAACTCAGAGGCAAATACGCTGAAATCGCTGCCTCCCAGTGTCATTCGCTTCCTCCCTTATCTTTTACGTGTTTTGAACTTTGTTTTTATCTGTTCTTTGCTATCAATTACAGGCTCTCTAAGACAGAGGCAATTTTCCATTC